TTCGGATACCGTTTTTATGCCTCATGAAACAGATGACAAATTGCAACTAATTGTTAGTTGTCACTTCAAGCGAAGATGCGTGGTCCAGGATTAATTGAGGAGTAAATGTGATTGCTGTGATAAGAACTTTATTCGCGTGCTTTTGCGGATTCCCTCATCACACCACTTGGAGTTGGAGTCACACACATTAGCATCAGACAAGGAAACAAAAAGACCCACTGCCACGGCAAGAAACGTCTTGAGTCGTCTATAGGATATGGTACAGTTATGGACAAAGCAACTTCGTCGGATAAACTGGAAGAATCCTCTAAACACGAACTGCCGAACACGCGACAGCAGTACGGAGGAAAATGATGACAATTATCAAGTCGCAGCTCATTTGATGAGATCCGGCCACACATTCAAATTGGAAGAGACTGACACTGAGAAGTCATCCTGACAAACACATGTTTTCAGCAATTCTTCATCAGGCCAATACAGTGGCAGGGACTAAAATGGTCAGTTATATTTAGTGTTTAAATGGCTCTCGGGGTAGCGGGGGTGTAATTATTCATCGTGGTGGACGTCTGGAGAAGAGGGTGCGCAAACACATACCAGCCTGGTTCGGCAAACGAGAAAATCGATTGATCTTAAGTTCAATCCTCCTACACTTGATCGATACGAACCACCACGTTGACGCGAGATAAGGCTTGCAAGTCATATACCAGGCTTGGACACACTATTCCAAAGACCTGCGCAAATTGGTGCTCGCCACAGCCAACGCAGTGGCAACCCATTTAGCAAAGCCCACTCTTTGCTGTCAAAAGACGCTAGTAGTACTCGCTTACCGGCGTGAACGCATTTGCGAAAACTTAGAAATAATAATGAGCAACATTAGGCATATTAAGTACTGAAAAGACCTAGAAGAAGTACTTAGTGATTTTTTAAGAAAAATAAAATTTTCTCGATAATTTCCAAGTTCCGGAGACGTACAAAATTGCTATAAATTAGAATAATAAATTTAAATCTTTTCGTAAGTTGAAAGCGGAATGTAACCAATTTCTTTACATAAAAGAACTTTTCTTCAGGCGAAATATTTTGAACATATTACTATAAGTGGATAACAATTTATTGAATATCGTCGAATAAATTCTGTCATCATTTTGATCGTATTTAGTGTCTTCGTTGAGAAATTAAGCTTCTGTTCGACGCTTACATCAAAATATTTAAAATAAGATATACGTAAAGAGCTTTTACCGAAAAAAAGAATTTGTGGATATTAGTTCTTATGAAGATGGCCATGCGGATCATATTTAGAAATGCTTCAAAACAGTAAACCACACTATCGAAGAAAAATAACGTCTGCAAGATAACTCGGATATTGTTATTCTTAAGATTACTAAATAAACTTCCCCTAATAGGTTACCTCGTTAAAAAGTGCTGTATTTAGATATTCAGCTGACTTATTGTTGTGTATATTAACTATTTCCAAGATAATGTGACAATGAAATTGGAGACTTTTGACAATTCGTTTAATATACCTGAAGATGAACAATTCAATTGGACTGGAACGTAAAGAGCTTACCTTTCTCTTTATAGTGGATTATTTTCCGCATACATGGATTAATTCCACGATCTGTTTTAAGCCTGCGAATGGGAAAACGACTGACCATCTATATGGCCATTTTTTGAAATGATAATTATTCTTTTGTTCGTTCCGTTTCTTAATATCTGACCTAGATTTCATAAGGCCTCCTTTACATCACCTTTACGGTAACATATATGGCATATATACGGGGCGTTTGTAGCTTAACGGTTAGAGCGTTGGCTGCCGGTAAAGGCTTTCTCTGATACGCGAGTTCAAATGCCGCCGAACGCCTCGAGTTTTTTCACAATTGGGTCGACTCAAATTAAGCAAATCTGCCAAACCTCCTAATATATGGCAAAGTTTGCTTTTGCGCTCTTAGTTATCGGTGGAGTAAAATAATTTTGTCATGCAAACTTATTACTGCACTTCATGACTCAAAACTTGACAGGATGGCAAAACATAATTTTTGAAACTTAGATTGTACCTTGTTTCTGAAAATAAATGCGATTCCCAAAACTTGGCTTCACTTCCATTTAAGCAATTTCGGACAAAGTTTTCTAGTTCTGGAAGGGATAATTTTTCACCTGTTTTACTTATTCAGGAACTCTTCTATAGCACAATGCATATTAATAAAAAATTTGGTTCTATCGTATCTTATACCATGCGAACCTTCATCGCTATAAATTTACTCATAATTTAGTCAAATTTAGTGCCTATTTCGCTCCATAACTTTAACTAAGAGGGCAGTTTTCCAAGCTAAGGTTCTTCTTATTAATAATTGCACAAGGTTGATCAACATAGCCTGTCCAAACTACGAGGTTAAATTTCGTCATGAAAATTGCATGCAGGACTTGTCATACTGTATATAAAAACGCCTTAATGGTTCGCATGCGAATATCAATCATAGAAGGCCAGGTTAATCTGGTTAGCAGCCTAGGTTGCTGACAATTACTGTCTCCGAAAGCTGTTCAGTCAAATTCAAAAGCAGTATCCTTGCCACTAAAGGCGAAGAAGTGAAGTCCGGAAAGAAGGCGCGAATGCATTTATTGCCAAGGCCCTGTGATTATAATCATTATTAATATGCTGCTGGTGGTGGTAGGGGTAGTAATATTAGTAGTATTAGCAGCTCTAGTAGTACTCGTGGTTGTATCTTTGTCGCAAAGCG